ACTGTTAAGTATATTTGAAAGGAGGATCTTGAGATATATCTTTGGACCAGTGGAAGAAAATGGAATATGGAGGAAGAGGTATAACCATGAGCTATACAAACTGTTTAATAAACCAGACATTATTGGATTTATAAAGGTGAAAAAGCTTGAATGGGCTGGACACATAATACGTGCCAGCGAGAATATAACCATCAAGAAAATGCTTAATACTAAACCAGAAGGAAACAGGAGAGTGGGAAGACCAAGGCTAAGATGGGAAGAATGTGTGTGGCAGGACATAAGAATTTTGGGTGTAAAGAACTGGAGGAATGTAGCATCGAATAGAGAAGAATGGCGAGCAATCCTGAGGAAGGCCAGGGCTCACAAAGGGCTGTCATGCCAGTGAGGACGACGACGACCACGACCACCACCCTCAATGTACACCCACTTGCAATTAATGTGTAGATTAGTACTAAGAGGCCTCTTCCGGGATTTTTTTTTGTATGAGGATAGGTTATTTTTCATATTTGTTCAGGAAGAAGATAGGAATTTGAATTTGGCCTTTGAAGCTTGATGTAAGAGATGGGAAAAATGCCTGACGCATACTTTCTCGCACCTTTTGTTCAGTGATTGATATTACCACCTTCTAAGAGATGCATCATTTTAACTTAAGATGGAAACATTCAGTTTCTGAATTGTGTTCTTTTTGGAGCATAAAATAGTGGTTGAAATCCAGAAACCCAGTAATTCTAAGTGTAATCTTTCATCATCAGAACCATTTATAACTGATTAACTGTCTGAGCTGTGGAACCCTTTGAATATTAATTGAAGTTGTTTCTGTTAATGTAGGGTTCCTGGAGGAGCTGAGCTCTGTAAGACAGCACACAGTGAGTGAAATCCCAGCCGCTCATAATCGCAATCCACCTGTATTGGTACACTGTACAGCTGGAGTGGGGCGTACTGGAGTAACGATACTGAGTGATTTACTGCTTTACACACTTGATCACAACCAGGTAATAACCAGTTTGGGAGATGCAGACATGTAGCATACATAGAGGTTTGCCTGGTTTCAAACCATATTTGATCTGGTTTTTCAAAAATCGTTTGTGATTAAGACCAAGAGGATGATCAACACAAATCCTTTTGTGCCATAATGTAAAGGGATTAATAAGCGAGCGAAGCCTGTCTGATGAAAACAGCAAAAGAAGAACACTTGCTACAAGAAACGTTTAAAGATAAAGAGCCTCGAAAAGAAGAGTTCAAATACCGAAATTACTTTAAAGATTCCCTTCACTTTTAAATTAGTTACTTTTAAAGAAAATTTGATTGGTTAAAAATTACATATTCTCTGGAAACTCATTGAAGAGTAACCAGAGTGAGGCAAAGAGTGATCACGTGTCAATCATACTTACGACATGTGTATAACTTATGTATGAGTTATACAGAGAAGAATTCAGCAGACGTATACTCGCCAGTTTAGACAAGTGGTTCGTGTCAGTCGATAGAAAATGACAATTATAATTCATCTTACGTCATTCGAGAGACAATTGTTTTTGTTAATTGTTGACATAACCGGTATGTAAAGCTAACGACCGCCCTAACCATCATTCTGGTCTGAAACCTCGTTTCAGTCAGGTCGTAGTCTCGTTCGGTTAGTATTCAAAACTTGACGGAATTATACTTGGTTACTGATTATGTTATGTCAAATTAACTGAAGCAAACTGTCTTACTCGTCATAACCGGATAATCGAAGCAGTTTTATGTACACATTACGTTGTACGTGTATTATACACGTATCATTCACATTGCTCGTCGGTGTGTAAGTTGCACAACGATCTCTCGAAAATATGAATGATGTGCACAATTAGTGTGACATTTACGCCATGGTAAATAAAGCTTAACGGCCTGCACGATCACTGTCTAAGGCTGCCTGTTCAAGGTTCTAATTCTTGCTTTGTCTCTGTTACTGCATCCGAAATAATAATGTTCTCAGATTTCACAGTTTTCCTCGTTTGAATTGTGAGTAATTTAATGACCTATTTCAGCTGCATTTCCTGGCTACAGATCCAGAGGTCCGGGCTCGATTCCTGGTGCTACAAGATGTTCTGAGAAATAGTGGGTTTGGAACGGGGTCCACTCAGCCTCATGAGGATAACTGAGGAGCTGTTTCAAGGAAATAGCGGCTCTGGTCTAGAAAACCAAAATTAACGGCCGTGGGGATTCGTTGCGTTGACAACGTGACACCTTGTATCCACTAAAGTTGGCACTAATTTCGCCAACAAGTGGCGGCCGCTCGGTCGGTATAGTTCGCTTGCGGACTACAGGCCACAAAATTATAGTTATAGTTATTTCAGCTGAATATATTATTTAGCGCAGAATAGAGAGAGAGGAGGGTGGAAAAGGAACGGGAAGATTTGTGTTTGAGAGATTGAATCTCTGCCGTAGACTCGACTATCCTAAAGAAATTTTTAATGATTTCCTTAAGCCTCTCCCAGGCGAAATATAAAACAAAACATTCAAATATTCCATGTCCATTTCCATCATCCAAAAAACATTCCTTCTCATTTTCATAATTCCAAGCAGTTTAGATCCAGGTGTAAAAACAATAATCAAAGGGTTCTGGGAATATGTTTCAAAGTCCACTTTCCTACTACACAAACTTTCAGTCTTACAAATCCTGTGTCGTTAATGTATTTAGATTATGTGTGCTGGGTTCATGTACCGACCGGTCAACGATTGAATCCTACTAGAGTCAAGAATTCTTTATTGTTTCCAGTCCTAATTACGTTTCAAATTAGTGAAAATACTGTTCTTGCTGTCAGCAGCAACAAAAGTAGTAATAGTGGTACTATTACTTGGTCTAAGTATAAATTCTGTTCACACTGTCAGATTAGGCTTAAATTGAATGTTCTGAATCGTCATCAAGTTTTTAACTGTTCATAATGATAATGATGATGATGACGATGATAACAATTTGATTCAATTCCTTTATTTAAGTGTCTGCAACAGGCGAGCACTGAGAGCGTGCATAACAAAAGCTAGACTAAGGCTAGACCTAGGGCCGCACCATAGCTCAAGCGGTTAGTCGCTGGTTTTCCACTGCGGCGGCCCGGGTTCGATCCCGGGTCTGGTCAAGTGGGATTTGTGGTGGACAAAGTGGCGCTGGGGTAGGTTTTCTCCGAGTACTTTGGTTTCCCTTGCCAATCTTCACTCCACCAATTGCTCCACATTCACCCTCATCTATCATCTGGGGCTGGTACAATAGCCCAGAAGTGGCCGCAGTACAAGGGCTTAGTCCCACCCCACTAGCAATAAAAAAAAGGGATGCATGCGTCACAATCGTCTCCTGCGATGCTAAAGATGGTTGCGATGGAATTTCTCAATTAAATTACGTACACAGAGTGAAGCAGAAATATCAACAAACGTAAGAAGTAAAAAGAACAGAGTAAGGTAAGCCTACATGCAAATATAACAATGAAAGAATCAATATGCCTGTACGTCAGGTGTATATTTCAAAAGATCTGAGATTCCTCTGTATATTCTGATATGAAGTTCTAGAAACAGAGTTGTTTCATAAATTTACAACACATCTCACTTCATGCTACATGCATAGCAAATCTCTGTACTTACACCGCATACCACGGTAGAGTAAGAAGCAATCCTACTTCGTATTCTGAAGGTTCTGCGTTCAAATCTCTACCAATAGATCGGTTCATCTTGGTGAAAATTTTCGCGGTTTTCATCTGTCCCTCCAGGGAAATTTGTTGACAGTGCCTCAAATTCGGGCAAAATTGTTACCTTCCTCAGCGTTCCCAATTCATTATTCATTGACTATCCTACTTCTCGAAGCTACATTGTCTGAGCTAGTGACAACAACGTTATGTAAACTGTAGCAAAGTACATATCAGTACGGGTGAGATATGACCCTGAGACGATCAGTATAGCAAATTTACAAATAAACTAATGGAAAATGATAAATGCATATGGAGATTATGGATCCCTCAATTTTTGTTGTATATTTCAGTGACGTTGTAGGTGTACAGACCATATAGTGTCGAAAGTATTGATTATATACAGAGTGTTTCATGACTTTAGGGAATAACTGCAGGAGGTGATTTCCAAGGTCTTTGTGATCAAAAAAGTTCATATAAACATGTGTCCGATTTTGGACGGTTACGGAGTTATGACCGTTTTAAACTTAGAATAGAAGGTAACGATTATTGACAGTAAACGGTACAAAATAATAAACCAGCATAATACACGATACATTTAAAGAATGAATGTAAAGTTAACTTCGTGAAATTACCTTTAATTTGAATTTATTGGTGCTTAAAGCTGATTTTGGAAAATGCCACCTCCGGCCGTAACACAGGCTGCCGCTCAGTTGTGAACCGCGCCGGACATACCAACCCACTCCGCCTTAGGTAGCTCTCAAGTGTCGAGATAACGAGAATGCTGTCTGTAGCTGGCTAAACATAGCGACCCGCCAGCGGACAGACGCGGTTCACACGAGGGCGTGTACGGGAATGAAAAAACGGTCATAACTCCGTAACCGTCCAAAATCGGACACACGTATATATGAACTTTTTTGATCACAAAGACCTAGGAAATCACCTCCTGCAGTTATGCCCTAAAGTCGTGAAATACCCTGTATTCGTATATTCATATAATGAATAATGAACTGGAAAAATTTGGCAGGAAGTGATTGTGGCCTGATCGAGGTACAACCCCGGAATTTGCCTGGAAGGATTGAGGAAACTCACTGAAAACTCAATAGCCTCTATCCGGGCCAAAATTTGAAACAATAAAGGTCAAGGAACTTAATTCGAGACCAACCTGATCATGAATTATATAGGCCTATTACTATTTTCCGACCGCCTCTGTTGTCTTGTGGTCAGATCCGTTGCGCTGACCACATGACACCCTCTATCCGCAAAAGTTGGCACTAACTTCCCCGACAAACGGCGGTCGCTCGGTCGGTATATTTTGCTTGCGGACTACAGACCACGGAGTTATTTTATTACTGTTTTCCCCTCATAGCTTTTACATTTCTACCCACATTACTGACATCGCTTATCTTTCTTTTGGGAGGGATGTCTTATAGAAAGTATGTACAAACAATTGCTTAACTTCGCGAGATCAAACAGCCTTGCTTCGAATGAGAAGGGCCTCGAATTCTCCCTACCTGTGCGTGAAGTAGCACGTGGATTACACGCCGAGAAACCGCGCGTAACTCGCGAAATGAACCATGGAAAACTTTTCAAAGAATGTTCTTAACTATGTCCATACTATTGGGAACTCAACGGTGAAAAGCGAATTTCGAGAACATGGAGACAAAAGTCGACATGAAAATTCATGTCTTAAGTTAAACGTTCATTTTAAATTAATCAATCTAGACCGGAGCCGCTATTTCCTCGCAGTAGCTCAATTATCTTCATGAGGCTGAGTGAACCCCGTTCCAGATCCATTATTTCTCAGAAAATCTGGTAGCGCCGGGAATCGAACTCAGGACTTCTGGATCTGTAGCCAGGAACTCTGACCATTAGACCACAGAGGCGGTCAATCAGGGACTCAATAGTAAGAGAAATTATTTAACAAACGATGAAACGTCCCGTTTAGTTTATTAAGTTCATTGTCAGATTGGAAGCCAGACAGTTTTCGCGCAGCCACTGTTACCTATATTCTGCATAAGAACACCGATGGAAGTCAAATTTTTAACAAAATCTATTGCCATTCATAATTCCCTAACTCTATATTGAAAGGGGCTACTGTTGCTCGCACCTCCACCATCTCTCGTCTCTCCCATACGTGATAGCCCCTTATACACCCTCTTATTACTTCCTGTCTCTTAGGTAAACCATTTTCTGAGTATACATTGTCACATGATAAAGTGACTGTAGACTCATTGACCACATATACAACTAGTTACTACACTTCACAAATCATTATCCCATTGAGACTAGTGTTCTCAGTCTCTTACAATTTCTACTAGTCGTTTCCTGGTAACGGATTTTTACACTGTAACTGAGTATCACTAAATTACAAACTCGAAATGTCGCTGTAACTACAGCACACATAAAGTTTTCTGTTTTCACTGCTCGTTTCCTGGTACCGGCTTCTAACAGTGGAGATTCTTCAGCTTCTGTGCTAACTGCACCGACTAAGTATTCTCTATACAGACTCCCTTACAATTCTCCCTCTAGTAAGAGAGTCAGAGTCAGGGTTACTTTACGACTGGCAGTTTACCGCTAATCAGTTTTTCTTGGTGACAAGCCCCTTGAGACTCATGACCAGTAACTTTCATCAATGGGAAAACTTGCGGCCATTATCCTTATGTAACATCCTCTCTGACAAGACGATGGGTCCGTCGTTTACAATTGCTGCTGGCCCTCGCCACCTCAACCATTTTTGAGTCTGAGTCCTGCGGGACTTATGACAGTATTTTACTGTCTCAAATTCGAGACTCCCCCAACCTAGAGGGACAGGTCCCCGTATTTATATCCCCCAGAAAAAGGGTGGCCCAGTTATACCTCCAGGCACTGGGTTCCCCTTTCGTCGCCTCCTACAAATCGCTGGGCTACGGTGGAGGTATTCGAACCCAGCTCCTCCACACAGGGTTCTCCCTTTAGATCGGCTGTTGTCGTTATGACACGTGTTGCATAGAAAACACCGTTTCCATCAATTCTTCTATTGTTGAGTGCTGACCCATTGTTGCAGAGATGTGTTTGCCGCAGAAACATCATGACCAACAGTTCCTCTGTTGTTGCGTGTTGATTCCTTGCCATGGGAACCTTTTGTTCGTGGCCGCTACCCAGTAATGGGTCTACATGCTACAACATACATTTTCTGACTATACTTGAAATGGGTTCGCGGATCCCTGTCTGATGAACAAAGTATGTGTCAATTAGACATCACATGTGTGATGTGACGCTGAATATTTGATAAAACTATGTGCAAATAACACATGAATTAATTCTTAGTGCAAACAATTGGTATATGTCCTTCAATGCAATGACAATGACATATTCGTATCCTTCAAAAACACTTGTTTTCTTTATACCAGCTGATGCTGGAATGGGTATATAAAGTAGTCCATTTTACTTATGATCATTCTGAACTGAAACTTCTGTTTCAGGTAAGTACTGGATAAGTTTCAGATACGCGGTAGAATTAGTGATCTACATACAACCCTTTCCTCCACAGTGAACATGAAATGTCTGATTAATTAAGCACCATAATCTATTAACAATATACAAAGATAGAACACAATGTTTACAACTTTCCCAGACATTTGCCGGTCTACTAATCTACCGGATACATTTATCTGTCGCCTGTATGTAACACCCCAGTGACAACTGCCGGTTATGTGATTATTTGTTAATTACTCATAAAGCCACTATACACTAGACATCGAGGCGGTTAGTTCACAACACGATTTGATCCTTATGTGCTCATCCTCAAGTCGTTACATGTGAAGATTTTTAAAAACTTGTCTACGATTAACAACAATCACCAGAGCCTCGGCAACACCTACTATCTTGTGGATTTCTGTGGTTTTCCTCAGTCATGCAAACATTGGAATAATACCTCAAGTTAGGCAATGCCGCTTTAGTCTACATGCTTTTCAATTCATTATTCACTAATGATCCTCTCATTTAACGTTGCAGTCTGCGATACTAATCTATGTTCTATCTTTATTCCTGTTGTCCTAACTTGAAGCATAGGGCATTCATGAAACGCTTCATTTCACTTTAGATTATTAATCTTACAGACAGTAGGTAGGACTCCTTGGAAGGGGGATCAGCCTGTCGCAAGGCTGCTGCCTACACAGGATAACACATACAGAATAAACGCAGACGAACATGCATGCCTTGAGTGGGATTCTAACCCACGATCCCAGTGTTCGAACAAGAGAAGACAATGAGCTATTAAGAGCATCGTAAAATAACTCAGAAATAAGTAAATAAATAAGGTAGATGAGGAAACGCAGAAGCACAAATAGCTAATTTAAAAGAATGTATTTTCCGAATTCTAGCATGTACGAGTAAATCTCTTCTCTCTTGTTTAAACTAACTGTAGTGTGGATACGTTGAAATGCTGCTGGCATATGCCCAAAAATGTGCATAAAATTATGCAAAGCTAACAAACAAAACAAAAAACTCCGTGGTTTTAGTCCGCAAGCGAACTATACCGACCGAGCTACTGCTGCTTATCTGCGAAGTTAGTACCAAATTTAGCGGATAGTGTGTGTCGCGTGGTCAGAGCAACGAATCCCCACGGCCGTTAATTTCGGCTTTCTAGACCGGAGCTGCTACTTCCTTGAAATAGCTCCTTGATTATCCTTAATTATCCTCACGAGACTGCGTGGACCCCGCTCCAGACCCACTACTCAAAATCTGGTAGCACCGGGAATCGAACCCATACTTCTGGATCTGTAGCCAGGAACTTTGGCCTCTATTCCACTGAGGCGGTCTATGCAACGGTAAACGTCAAGAAATGAACTGCGTCACGACACAGAAGACAGGGCTGATTGGAGAGTAGTGGGGCTCAGAACATTTATTTAAGCCACATCGGGATACTATGTCACCAGCAGTACATATTTCCCTCTTTTCGAACTTGAATGAATGTATAAAGGGTGGGCCTTCTTGGCCCTTGCACCATGACCACAGTGATTTATTGTGCATCCCCTTCTGATTATCCCCTCAACAATCCTGTGCTCCAATTTGAAGAGGTGTCCTTTGAGGTGACAGTGTCCTGTAAGTAATCCTACCACCCACCGTAGCTGGTTCCTGTTTAACTTCAACAGTTCCTTCGCTCTTTTAGTAGAGGGTCCTCGTATGAGTCCCTTTGCTTGCCTGAGTCCAGTCAAGGATCCCCAGTATTTCTTGTGCTTCATATTTGTCCAGTCCCTGATTGCCTGTCTGGCAACTCCTATAGAGATGCCACAGGCTGGTTCAGGCCCTGTGCATGGATGTTCAGTTCCAATCTTAGCTAATTGGTCTGCTATTTCGTTTCCAGCAATACCCTCATGCCCCGGCACCCATATCAGTTGTACCCTGTTATGTTTGGCCAGTCCATGAGAGTTTGGTGGCAATCCCAAATCCATTTTGAGTTGATCTGGTGTTTGTCAAGTGCATTAAGTGAACTTACTGGGTATTTGGTGACACCTGCATGAGTTTTTGTGGAGAAATAACTCACTGAAAAAGTATGCAATTTATTTTAAAACGAATCTGTTGATTAAATTCAAAATAAGAACATGGAGACTGCGAAAATTCAGAATGGTTTTGACAGCAGTAATTATAGAAACACTGTAACTGTTCACGTGAACTTCGATATGAAGTTCATACTAAAAAATTATGTAGGAGTATTTTCTTTGTTGAAATTTTCAAACGTAGAGACGGTGCAAAACATTGTGGTTATATCTGCAAATCTTTCAATACAGGATGTCTACATTCAAGCAAATACACCGAGAGATAAATAAAAAGCACATCATTCCACTATCGGCTCCATACAGATATTAGCATTTAAAATAAAATAAAATTATTAAGTTCTTCCAAGAAAGTACATCAGAATACTGTCTACACATGTTAAGTGGACACGGGATTTGGATTGGTAATCGGATTTATTGGACATTTTAACACACAACTCGTGACTACACTTTACAAATCACTATCAAACAAAGAACAGTGTTCTCAGTCACGGCATTCACTGTGCTGCTTGGTAACGTCTTCCAACAGTAGACGTCCGTCTGCTCTCGGGCTCATGTCCTCACAGGCTGGTGGCCATCTCACACCAAACTCCTACTCTTCTAACTGCTGCCTCACTACTCTCCCATTAATGGCAGTCGGTCCTTGTTATATAGCCTTGGCACGGACTGCACAGAAAACACCCCTTTTAGCAGTTACTCCATTGGTGTTGCGTATTACATGGCTATTATAGAGGAATGGCTGTTTCTCTGGCTCCACAGTCCTTGTTTTAAGAAAATATGCCACAATAAGTACTCATTAAAATGTATATTATTTACAAATATATCTTGTTTCATTGTCTGCCATCAGCTTTGGATTCATTCTCTTCATTGAACAGAAACAGGATGATAATCATCGTGTTGTCGGCCACTCTTCTGGCAACCCTCGCGGCTGGCCAGAGTCAAGACTCCTGTTATGCCGACCAGACAGACCCCTACATCTTGTTTGGCACTGCTACACCATATGAAGCTGTGAGCAATACAAATGCAAGCTATGTATATATTGATAGTAAGTACTGCAACATCTCTTACCCAAGCCTACCTCAAGCTTAAAATCTGCTAAATATTTATTACTGTAGCCTGTAGTTTTGTATGGGTGCATAACTTAATCTCTGACATAATGGGGAAGAACACAGATTGAAGGTATGTGAGAACAGGGTGCTGATGAGAATATATGGACTGAAGAGGGATGAAATGGTAGAAGGTTGGAGAGAACTGAATAATGAGCTCTATAACTTGTACTCTTCGACAAGTATAATTAGAATCAAGTCAAGGTGGATGAGATGGGCTGGGCATGTAACACAAATGGAAAGAAGAGGAATGCATGTAGAATATTGGTGGGGAAGCCACAAGAAAATAGATTGTTAGGACTATACAGAAGTAGGTGGGAAGATAATATTAAAATAGATCTTAGAGAAATATGATGGGGTGCCAGATTCTTCTGGCATGGAACAGGAATGAGAGAAGGGCTATTGTGAACATAATAATGAACCTTCCGGTTCCATAAATTGTTGAGAAATTCTTAAGTAGCTGAGTGACTGGTAGCTTCTGAAGAATGATTCAACTCGATGAAGTTAGTTAAATAGACCTTGGGATAACTTCACTTTCACAATTAAAAATAGGAGATCAAAAACGATGTCCTGGTAAATACAATCAATTACAAGTTGTAGTTCAAAGTATCCCAAACATAGAATAAGCAGTCTTAATCTTTCTGAAAATTGTTCATGATCTGAAATTGATATTTATCAGAATCAGCACCAAAACCTTTCATTTATGTCTTAATTCTTTTAAGTTTCTATCTAAAGCTGTGGAGAAACGTAACAAAGAAAATTAGGCACCTTTCTTACTTAGCCAGCTGCACTCAAACAACATAATCTAATACCAAAATGTCTGTATGAAAGAAAACAAGGCATTCTTTAGCAATGACCGCCATTTCTGGTTGATACCGCTGAAATTTAACAAATTTTATTACCTCCATCTTTGTCTCCCACACTTCATATCTGAGCAGGAGAAAATATATGGTGCCTACTATTTCCTCTATTGCCCAGTGATTATGGCTAGCTTTGTCTAACAGGCTCAACTTAAGATCCTTTCCTCTTTCTTGAATTGATGATGGAAAAAGATCCAACTTTGGGAACATCTTATAGTTTAAATTTAACTAAGATAATGGACAATGCCCAAGACAATAATTTTATAAATAATAACAGACCAGTGTCACAAACCTTTCAAGGATCAATGATTTTCATTTTTCTTCATCATATAATTTAAATGCCACGTTCTGGGTCCCTACTGCAACCATCAGTTTGAAATGTATGCAGACCTGAGGCTTATACCCTTTCAATTACAATACATCTCTCAAAATCTATTTGTGTGTGTCCCTGTATATACGTATACATAGGCTTACACTCTACTAAAACAAATATCCTCCTTGCAACATATTTGTGAAGTAAGAAAAGAAAATGGTAAAGCTATCCCTGTAACAGGCCATGGAGACCCATAGGTTTGTGAGACATAGAGGCTGCCACATTTTCTAGACAATGAACTCATAGATGGCTGTAAGGTTGTTAGCTTTACACACCCACCACCCTTTAGCCCCACAGGAAGATTCCTGGTACTCATTCCTGTTAGAGGCTAAGTCAACCACAGGGTTGGAAGGATTAGGTAAAATGAAAAAATCAACCTCATCAGGACTCAAACCTGCAACCTTCCAGCTTGTAGCACCAGTGCCTCAACCAACTACCGCTGCCATGTGCATGTGAATAAAAATTGGCCACATAAAGTTCAAAAATATATTTAAATTACATGTTGCCAGAGTCAAGGTACTCATAAACCATTTGCTAGATTGTACTGATATTTCATTAGATTTTGGAGTCATCCTAATTCCATTCTTTTCCGAGTTATTTATTACCGGTTATGTGAAATCAATTAAAAATTACTCATAACATTTAGTCACCATTTTTCATAGTTTTCAAACAGATTCACCACCTTTTTCTAACATTCCATGCAGTACATGTGCCACCAGTTTTACAGCCCTGTCTTAGAATCTTCAACAAAACTGCCATATGTTGTGTTAATATGGTGAGATGACTGAATGCAATGAAACCAGATTCACATAAAATTGGAAGTCATTAAATAATTATTAATTAAGAAACTGCTTATATTTTATAGTATAGCAGAGCACAGTAGTAGTAGTAACATTAATTATAATATGAATCACAAAGCTGAATTCAACATATAAAACAAAATAATAATGACAAATAAAGCTGGATTGGAGAAGCATGGATTTTTCTGAAAGAACAAAAGCTTAGAAAAATTAACTTCCTTTACTCTGTCACAAAGGAAGCCAGGATAGCATAGTTGGTATAGCTACTGGCTTTGGGCTGGCAGACTGGGGAATCAGAATTCAAGTCCCACTAGGGTCAAGAATATTCTCTTCTCCACGTCATCCAGACTGGCTCTGGGGACCGCCCAGCCTCCTATCCAATGGGTACCAGGAACTCTTCCCTGGGGGAGGGTAAAGCGGCCAGGGTGTGAAGTTGATCACTCATCTCCAAGTAGTGCCTCAGTCAAGTAAAATGTGGATCTATACATCCACTCCCCCATGCACCTTCATGGTATAGTGCTTAATTAGTTAAGTACAGAGACAACTTTACCTTTTCCTCTGTAACAAATCAGGTGCTGGGTAGATAAGGCCCCACCTTGAAGACCAAGGATGTGGTAATTTTCTGCCTGGTCAGGGACGTCTCATACCTCAGGGAAGAAAATAAATGAGTGGGGAGTAATGGTGATGATTAGTATGGAGAACTTAAAAAAAAAAATGCTCCCCTGCCACTCTGGCTGCTACAAAACTCATATGAAGTTACCTGGAACTGAAATAAGGCTCCAATGCGAAAACAGTGGCTAGAAACTGATACTAGGGCAGAGAAACAATTGAAATATATGAAAACAACTGCATGTTCTACAATTTATTATATTCCAGAAGTCAACATTTTCAAAAGGCTGCTAATAAACTGTTAAACCTTCTCAGTACATGTAAAGTAACAGTCGCCACATAAAACTTCTGTTCCATAATATTCTGCAGATGCAGAGTTTTTTTTAATTAAAAAGTTCGTAACAATGTTTGAAGTTAATTTATCTGTTGCTTACAGAATGTGAAGCTAAGCAGTTCTGGATTATATCTCGTCATGGCACGAGATATGCTGATGCTGATGAAGTTGATGAACTGAAAGATCTTTATGATCTCCAAGAGAAGATCATCAAAAATCATGAAAAAGATGGAAGTGAGTAATGGTAAAAATATATCAAAGGAGCTAATACTAATAAAAAAAGGATAAACACATTAAAAAAGATGGTGGGGGATTTAAGATCAGGAATCTTCTCTGAATATCAGGTCAGAGGAATGAGAAGCAAAGAAATTCAGAATTACATTCTCAATAGATCTACACACACAAGTTATTAAGATTCTATGACATTTACTTTCCTTTATATATTTCAATCTATATAACAGAGTTGGCTTGGAACTGTACATTAAAGTTTATTCAACGATTTATTTTACTAGCAGAGAGAAGAGAAATATAACCTCAAAATTATACATCATTGAAATAGTTGTAATTTTTTACATACAGATGAATGTCTTGGGCAAAATCTGTAGGCATGTTTACAGTCTAGCTTCATATGAAATGTAACATCTCTAATGATCCATCAGTTACTATCAATGCCAGATTCAGGCAGTCTGCAAACCTGGAGCATATGTATCTTAAAGATCCTCATGTAACTGTTGCAATACATACAGGGTTGTTGGGTATTTAAATTTAAATGGAATATGATATGACTGAGGATTACAATAAAAAATGAACTTTAGGTATACTTGTCTTAATTTAAAAAATGAGAAATTAACATTACAGCCCTCAGACAACTATGCTGCTGCTCATAGATTAACTTGGTCTTGCTTATAAACAGCAAACTAAAATGATGGTATAGATTTTGCATGCCAGCATATTTATATTCAACAGAAGTTGCATATTTTGTTAAGCTCCATTACCCCATCAGTTTTCAGGGCCTTGCATTAAGTAACACTAGTTTCCTTTCCACCTCAAATGTATTGAAGCTCTCATGAATATATTATTTCTTGTAAGAAATTTTGCAGCAGAAAGATTGTGGTAACAGCAGGATCTTCATAACAGATTTAATGAATATTCATTAAACTAATTAAGAAGTTATTAAAACACATAAGCACATGCATGGACAGCTTGGCAGACATGATAGAGCATTAAACCTGCCTTTCCTCATAAATAAGAAAAGTAGGTTAAAAACATAAACCTATGCCAATTAGTTTTTTACAGTCTCACGTGCAACATTAAAGTTCTATAGAATTTATTAAAAGATATTCACTTTAAAAGTTTTTCACTATATGTTTCAACCAATGTGGTCATGTGTTAAAATTACTGGAGGAGGAAACTGCTTTATTCTATATTGTTGCTTAGGCTGTTAATATATATAAGTTCCCTCGATGTGCGTGTGTGTTCAACATGGTGGGTTATATTCTCTCCTGTTGTGTGTTGAGGTGCTTGTCTCGTTTTTTAAGCCTATCCTGAACACAATTATCAAGAGGTCTTTTAAATATAACACAAAACTCTAGTAAAAAGGTTGAGATATTGACTACTTAACTAATGTATGAATTGTCCTGTGTTCCAAAACAAGGTGGCAGTTTATGTGCCAAGGATCTCGAAAACCTTAAACTGTGGACTCTACAAGTGGTCTCAAATGTGAAGCGTGATCTTACCCCTCAGGGCTACAATGATCTTTATCGCTTGGGTAAACGCTTCAAGAGCAGGTTCCCAGCACTGTTCAAACAAACAGTGACAAAGGACTCATTTAAGGTGAGCAAACTGAGGACTATAAAGTACAGTGTAATTTCTGAACATCTTGTTCTCTGAAAAAATAAGGATATTTGTACCATGAACACCTATTTTGTTGACAAGATAATTATATCAAATGTCACAGAGAAATGAGTAGCACTCCAGCACTCCTACTCCATACCCTGAAAGTACCTTCTGTGGTTTCTTCAGTCTTGCCAAACAAATGCTGTGATAGTATATTCAAACAGAATACAACAGTTTCTTACAACACACTTTCTAATTCTTCAATTTTTAAGATGCAACATAACCTCCACAACTGATGTAGAATGAACAAATCACAATTGAAATAATAAATAAAAGCATTATAATTTTAATTCAATAAGTTACAGGAACTTTAAAAAATAACCTCTGTATGTACTTCTGAATACTTCTATGTGAAAATAGAAGCCAGACAAATTTATAAATTACAAACAAGATAACTCAGTGATATAGCCATATGCAGTTTCTGCTGGGCTACATCTCCATTATCTGAAAGTTTGGAAACATAATCTGTAAGGTTCATACAGTTGTCACATTGGCGTTTTTAATCACATACATTCAAAATGTGCGCACATCAAAATTTCATAAACTTGTTTACAACAGCAACAAACTCCGTGGCCTGTAGTCCGCAAGAGAACTATACCGACCGAGCGACCGCCACTTGCCGGCAAAGTTAGTGCCAAGTTTAGCGGATACAGGATGTCGCGTGTTCAGCGCAGCGAATCCCTATGGCCGTTAATTTCGGTTTTCTAGACAGGAGCTGCTACTTTCTATTCAAGTAGCCCTCAGTTATCCTCACGAGGCTGAGTGGACCCCGTTCCAGACCCACTACGTCTCAGAAAATCTGGTAGCGCCGGGAATCCAACCCGGGACCTTTGGATCTGTAACCAAAAACTCTGACCACTAAACCACAGAGGCGGTCTACACTGCAGACAGTGTTTACAACAAACAGATGGAAAATTAACACAAGTGTAATGTAACCAGTAAGCTATATCTGGCTTGATTTTTAAGTAAAATGAATATATGTGCAGTATCATTTTTAAGATCTTAACTATTTACACTAATTTCAATAAGATTTTGGGTTAACTGTAAACGTATAGCCAGCTAGTAACATGAAAACTATTTCATAATAGTAACAACCATTATACATTCCTATGTATAATTATTTCACTGCAATGACATTTGAAGAATGCTTTAAATGTCTCTTCATAAGTCTGATGTTGCAGGCTTTACACCACTTCTCTAAATCACTACAGGGACATTTCAAGATAGCTTAAATATAGCGTCATCATGCGATGTTCCTTTTCAGGTCCAGTTCACCACAAAACAGAGAACTGCAGCCAGCGCCATTGCATTTGTGGATGGATTATTTGGAACTGGAATGGGTTTGGAGTTCCCAGAAGCCCTGGAAGATGACATGCTTATTAAGGTAACTTCATAATTAATTAAGACTTTATTTAAATTGAATTTGGACTGTAATAATCTTCACTTTGTAACATATGACTATAGTCAATGACTTTACATTCTAAAAGAATATTTCCAGTAATCTTATTCTTGGTGAATACAAAATAACTTGTAGAATATTTAAAAATTGTATCATATTCATATGTTACCTCTGATCAAGTATTTTACCTACAATAAATGATCACAAATTAACTAATGAATCAATTTCAAGTACTTCAGAAAACACTGATACAGTTAAATGTGGCTGCTTGGCTTCATATTTGCTGCTGTTAATTTTTTAATAACCATTCTTCATGTCAATGTACTACATTGTATCACAGTCAACGGTGCACTATTCATAAACTTTAAGCATGGCTTTGATGAAAGTTATCAAGTTCACTGCTAAAACTATTGGATTTATGTTGCAGCCATATGCCAGCTGTAAAAAGTGGGAAAAAGATGTTGAAAAAAACAAAGACACAACAAAGGAAATGAAAAAATTTTAAGACAGTTCCACAGTGACAACACTTGTGGGATCTGTGTCCAAGAGACTCGGATTTTCCAAGACACTTGACCTTGGTACGTACATCCTGCACTTGGAATTCAGCCATAAAGCAGACAGTTTCCTTGAGTCCAACAATTGCATTGGATTTATATGGCAATTTACTCAGCAATGTTAGCAGAAAGACATGGTTCCCAGCATTATGGGACCACTGTCTGAGTCTGAGTCTCATTTTACGACCGACAGTAAGTCGGCCAGTCTGTCTTGGCATAAAGCACCCATCTGGGGCTTGCGACCAGATCTTAATTACTGTTTGACAGTTACGGTCTTGTTTTATGTGGGTACCCTCTCTGATGAGAGGACAGGTCTGTCTTTTGTATATGCTGCTGGTCCTTGCCAGCGCAGTCCTTCTCGGGTCTGAGTCCCTTGCTATTCGAAACCATATATTACTGTCTCAAATTTGAGACATCCCTTTTCGTAGCCTCCTACAACTTGCAGGGTCATGGTGGAGGTATTCGAACCCGCCTCAACACAGGCAACCACTGTCTGTCAGAGTTACTTTATGACTGGCAGTTTGCTGTCTGTCAAAGTCAAAGTCATATTGCGACTGATGGTCAGTCAGTCAGTCAGTAAGTCTTAGTGTCGAGTGACCAGATATTTATTACGGTCTCGTTTATTGTGGGGCGCCCTCTCTAACGAGAGGACGGGTCTGTCATTCGTACATGCTACTGACTTTTGCCAGCCAAGTCTTTCTCGGGTCTGAGTCCCTTGGGACTCGCAACCATATTTTACTGTCTCAGATTCTGTCTGGTACATTCAACCCCCATATATAGGTGTTGTTCGGACTGCTTAGTGAACACGTTTCCCAACAGTTCGGTTTCCCCGCTGCAACGTAATGAACCCTCTGTAGTCCATCTCCGGGGAAACACGTTTGTTGTTTCGGCAATCTCTATGCAACGGTCTGTTGGTATTCGATTTGTCGCTGTGGGAACTCAATGATTTCCACGTATTCGTTGTCACGGAAGTATATGTTCCCACTGTAGTCGTTGCGCAGCGATGGACGTACTATAACACATCACATTATTATTGTAAAACCGAGGTTTTAACTGATTTAGTCTTTAATGACTTTCAACTAAAAATCACTGAACTCATCAGAAACATTAGAGAAGAATGTAAAACAGTGGCAACAGAAACAGAATGCAGCACACTAGCCTAGGGGAAAGAGAGGTTTATTAACACCACTACTGAGATGGAATAAGGGGGGAACAGGCCTCATAGCTTCATATCTAAAATGATAATAAACACGAGTGTCAAACAATGTCACAACAGTTACCTGTAATTAAATAAATTAAAACCTAACCTAAGCTCAATTAATGACAGTAGCATTTCACCCACATCAAGTGTAATAGCGACATCACTGTGCCCCTTGCAGCCATAGTTACAAAATAATATTTCCTCTACACCAGATTACAAAAGCACTGTTCTTTATGAATGGAGACTACTGATCATAGGAGAGATTTTGGAGACACATGCAAGTTCTTACACCATATTGCATTATGGGTGATATTTTAACTTTTGTTTACAGATGACATACTCTTAATGTATTCTGCATGTCGATATGACAAGGCATGGCACTTGGATAGTTTCTCCATGGTGTGCTGCCTTCACTGAAGATGATCTTAAAGTAAGTTCTATCGTTCCCCTATTAGTTTAGGAGTAGATCCCTCATATAAACAAAAGAAAGGTTCTTCCTATTTGTACTGTTTTTATTAGCACGTTGCTATGGTGCATGCACAATACCTTAATTCCAAAACTGACAATCATACAACATTTCCAAAATGCACTATGGATGACACACATTAATGTGAGTGTAGTTTGTACAGCTCAGAATTAAAACATCCTCTTCCTCCTTCAGGTGTTTCCACTTTCACTAGTTCCTGTTGTCACATTCTATCATTCCAGTCACCTTCCTCTAAATACAGGGCAAGTTCCTTTCTTTTATTGCTAGTGGGGTGGGACTAAGTCCCTTGTACTGTGCCCACTTCTGGCCTACTGCACCAGTCCCAGATGATATGTGAGGGTGATTGCGGAGCAATTGGTGGTATGAAGATTGGCAGGGGAAACCAAAAGTACTCGTAGAAAACCTGCCCCAGTGCCACTTTGTCCACCACAAATTCCACTTAACTAGACCCGGGATCAAATCCAGGCCACTGTGGTGGGAAGCCAGCGACTAACTGCTTGAGCCATGGCACGGCCTAAATACAGGGCAAGTTGGTATAGGAACAATTCTTTAGATTTTGTTCAGGAGGTACTCACTTTGAGTCATCTGGGACACTATTTAGCCTGACTGCTTCTTCGGTTTCCTCAGTCCTACCAAGTAAATTTTGAGATAGTACCTCAACTGTGCCACAATTACATCCATGTTCATGCTTTAAAACTCACCATTTGTCAGTCAACCTAGCACATGACATTGTATAATATAGATACTGACAGTATAGTATAATAAATGACAGAAACAACCACCATTTAAGTTTCTTTTTTCCCATTTTTTTGTTTGTAAAACACTAATAACCATTGTGCTTTCAGTTCTACCACCCTAAGTTTCCAGTTATTGTCTAGTGAATTAGTTGTTCATGTATGCCATCACTGCAACATTTTATGTTCTATCCCTTGAAAATCTTTTTGATATATGGTAACACATACCAATGAATAATAGTACAAAAGAGTTCAAAATAATTAATATTCTAGTATTTGACTTAAGCGGCACTACACAAAGCAAACAGTAAGTAGGTATTATTGCATGAAAGAAGAGCTGGAAACCTTCAGCATGAACACCACAGGATGCCACATGGAAAATTTTACATACCACTCTGATCTGAGTTACTGAATGATAATAATTCAACACACTGTATAAGACACACATTTCCTTTTTATGTTAAAACACATGGCAATTCATTTTTCATCTAATGGGGTTGAAAAGGAATGTGACATATTAAAATAACAATCATTCTTTCATTCAGGCTCACATTTCATCACAGAAAAGTGCGAGTAATTATTATAACAACATATGGCATGATGCATAGAAAGTAGCATTGTTGTAATATCTGTAGCAATATTGCATCAGTTAAATGCAATAACAAATGTGATTTCATATATATACAGGCATGCTAATAGTCATACATACACCACATACAAAGTATAACAATTCTGTTATGCAACGCATGTTAAATTAATAAATTTCATAAAACTGGCATGACGAAGAATAACTTCACCATATCATGGGATCATAAAATACCTTTCACAGAAAGAGCCTAAAGCCTCACATATATTTTCTGTCATTGTCTTTACATTCTTATTGACACAACTGCTTCATCTTGCTGTATTTAAAATTTATACCTAATAATTAAATATGAAGTTCCTGAATCCTCATGTTTTGTCTTCTCCTTGGCAAATTTTTCATTGAATCCCTAATATTACAGAAAGTGCAGCTTTGTGATTAATAGAATTTAATATACAGTATAAAGAAATAATTTTGCTTTAGATCAAGCTAATTAAAGGCAACTGACTAAGACATGAACCATCTTCGTCTGCAGGAACACTGGGATCATGGGTTCCAATCCCACTTGAGGCAGGGATGTCTGTGTGTATTTATTCTGTGTTTGTGTTGTTCTGTGTGTAGGTAGAGGCTTTGTGATGGGCTGATAAGCAGTCCTACTGACTGTGTATGGATTATGAAACTGCAGAAGCAGCCAAGATCCACGAGGACTGTAGAGCCATAGACAGACAGACAGATAGATAGAATGCAGGACAAAATTATTACAGTGTCATTATCTTACAGCTTCCTGCAAATCAATGAAATCTTCAGGCGTAAATCTTGAACACTAACCCGGCCAAGATGGGGCAAAGAAATACAGACTGCTAACATATTCAACAAGCCTATCACCTAAAACATGACATATAAAACTTGCTGGAGTTACGTGACTACTCCAAGGCCTTTCTAGCCCACCATGCATAAGACCCCTCTCAATATCTTCTGCAGATGATACATCATTAGTCATTAAATCAACTGAACTGACATGAACAAGAATGGACAGATAATATGACAAGGGTATGAGCTAGACTTTTTTACATGTTCACAAAATACTGAGTAGCATCTTCCCACTTATATTTTCCAGACGATAGGCTCACAGATGGTGGTGAGGTTGTCAGCCTTACATGCCAGCCACCCTTTAGCCCGAGGAAGATTTCTGGTACACATTTCTGTTAGGGGTTGCATCAACCCCACGACCATTAGTGTGGCTGGAAGGATTAGGTCAATTGAAAAATTCAGTGAACTCATTAGGAATCGAACCTGCTATCTTCCAGCTTATAGCTAGTGCCTCAACCAACACTACCGCTTGCCACATTCCAAGGGATATACAAGCAAATTTCATTACTGCATCGTTTAACTCCCAAACTACATCTGTACTTATGAAAATTCATATAGTTAATGTACACTGAATTTTATTGAAAAAACCATAATTCGAATCACATCAGGATATAAATGACAACAGACAAAGATTAAACTCTTGCCACTAATATATCTATTTGTGCTCTTTCAATGTTTTTGCTACCATTCATAGATTATTCTATGACAGACGTCATTTAGTATCAAGCTGCCATATTTTCCTTCTTGTGGGAACCTCAACATAAAGTACCCAGAGTCTGAAAGTCACTGTAAATTTTCCAGGCCCTGGAGTACATAGAAGACTTGGAGTTATACTACAGCACAGGATACGGCAATGACTTGAACAAAAAGGTGGGCTGTCCCCCTGTCAAGGACTTTATTGATCGCTTCAGGTGAGTTTGGTATTTCTCACATGGCACAATTATGGCTAAGGATCTTCAAGCAAGTCTGTGGCAAATCCCAGATTATGAGTCTGATCATGCAGAAATACAAAAGCATAATCTGGCAGGAGTAAGAACATCTCTCTCTCTTCTTCATGGTAATGGATACATAAATCAAGGCTGCGCCATAGCTCAAGCGGTTAGTCATTGGCTTCCCACTGCGGAGGCCCAGGTTCGATCCCGGGTCTGGACAAGTGGGATTTGTAGTGGACAAAGTGGTGCTGGGGCAGGTTTTCTCTGAGTACTTCAGTTTCCCCTGCCAATCTTCATTCCACCAATTGCTCCATAATCACCCTCACCTATCATCTGGGGCTAGTAGAACAGGCCAGAAGTGGCCACAGTACAAGGGACTTAGTCCCACCCCACTAGCAATAAAAAAAAATACATAAATGGACAGTTTGGGGGCTACCACTGAGAAGTGAATCTACTTCCTTCCCTGGCCTGGCATGGCACATTTCAGATAAAGACATGCAGTGCCATATAAGCTGCATAACATGTATAACTCACTCTAAGCAAAGCACTGGAGTGTTTATTTAATGGGGGGAATCATCATTTTACCTTCTTCAGTTTTTGTGGTTAGTACTACTGACAGGCTGGAGCATTTGCCATGGAAACAAGTTAGGTCTTGTGGACTGTATCTGTTTTCAGCTTTCATGTTTCATATTGCTCAGGAATATCTCTCTTTGACTAGAGTCTCTTTTTCACATACGAGCTGCAAAACATCATGTTACTGACTGAATGCAACATATATTAAAATTGTATGTGATGACAAACACCCAAAAAGAAATATTTTTGATCATATTAGTGACTAAGCGGTAGCATAGTTGGTTGAGGCACCATGCTACAAGCCAGAAGGTTGCGAGTTCAAGTCCCGATGAGGTCACTGGATCTTTTTCAATTGACCTAATCCTTCCAGCTGCACTATGGCCCTGGGGTATACTATACTCAGCCTCTAACAGAAATGAGTACCAGGAATATTCTTGGGGATAAAGGGCGGCCGGCGCATAAGCTGACAACCTTACTGCCATCTATGAGCCGATTGTCTTGAAAATGTGGGAACCTCAATATCTCACAACCCTATGGACCTCCATGGCCTGTTACAGGAATACCTTAATAACAACAACAACAATAATAATAATAATTAGTGACTAAGTGTTCTACAGATTGGTACTTTTTCCAGTCTTCACTATATTTCTACAAAATATTGTTACACCAGTGATATGAATGAGGATAATGAATTGAAAAGAGATCAGATCCACAGTATTAAAACAGTTACATGCCAACTTCTCACTGCAGGGATTTAAGTTAAATTCCAGAGAAATACTTGAGAAATTTGCAGCATACAAATTGGCACAGTAAAAGCCATTTCTCACAATGTGTCAGTCATCCTTCCCATTTTTTAACCTCCTAAGTTCCTACATGCATGTAACTGTATGTGACCTGCGTGATAGGCATAGTTACACACCGTGTTCAGAGTGCAGGCTGATTGGACATTGGTTTTACTGTCGGCAGCTTCCTGCGAAAGAGCTGTGGCACTTGAGAAGAAAAATGCTGCTACATGGCCAGTACAGCTAGCACAACTGTTTACTTCTTATGTTGATCATTAATAAAATACAGTAATTAATATTTTATTCACCATCACAGATGATGTTCAAAATCTATGTCCTCTGCTGTGAGACATGACTGAATTCTTTGAAACAGATTTCAGGAAACTTGTCACAATTTACATTGATGAATGTTGTAAATTGCTTCATGAAAATTCTGTTTTTGAACCTTCATGTCATGGGGATTGTTGGCATACACAACCCTTTTTGAGTTTTCCCAACAAAAAAAAAATCACATGGGTTTAGATTTGGAGATCTAGGGCGTCAGCAAACCCCTGTTAAAGCGGCCTCCGTAGTCTAGAGGTAACGTTCCCACCTCATGACTCGTGGTACGCGGGTTCAAACCCGGTGGAGATCGTGGAATTTTTAAGGGCGCAAAAATTCAGGGAACAAGTCCTCCGGGACGGACTTTAAGTCGTCGTAGCTTTACGGCATGTAAAAGAACCTCATATCTCCAAAGGAGGTCACTGAGCCAAATTCAAGGACATTTCCCGCCCAACAGTAGTATCTAACACCTCTGATAAATGGGGGAAGCATTATAGATACTGCTAAGCCAGTAGAGGACGAACTCGCTGGCTTGGTCGGGTCTGATGGTACGCACCAATATCGGTAGGGTATAGACACTGGTAGAATATCATAGAGGGAAGCACAATGGACCAATAGTGGTCTAAGTGCATGGGGAAACCCACCCTCTCCAATAACTAACTAAACCCCTGTTAATAATTCTATCATCCCCATTAATTCCCCAAACACACCACGTAATGTTCGGATACTTTTCTTAGTTGTAAGGGGAGTCCTGCTCTCTTGCATAAAATAACTTAATCTTTCTTCTGCAGGTGCTAAATTAATGAAAAATCCATTGAGCACATCATTAATGTATCATTGAGCATCAAGATTCCTTCATAAAATATTGTGTCCAATGATAAGATTAGTGCTAATTGCACACATATGCCTATCGTTTGGTTGTAAAGTTGAAGTTCAATTAGGGCATGAGGATTTTCACTTCTCCAATATCTGTTGTTTCGTGAGTTCACATATCACAATAGATTAAAATTAGCCTCATCTGTGAAAAATGTCAGCTTAGGATCAATAAGTCTGTCATGCACATTATTGATAAACCAATTATGAAACATCACTCTTTTTCATAAATCACAGGTTTAATTTCAGGCATAACAGTAATTTTGTACAGATGAATATGGAACAATTTAGTTGCTGTACCTGCACTGACTACAGAAACATCACTTTGTTGTGCTAATTGCTGCAAAGATCTTCAAGAATTTTCTATTTGATGACCGATGTCATCAAGTTTTTCCTCAGTTAAAACACGATTTCTTTTTAATGGCTGTCAATTAAAATACCACTGGCTCCAACTTTCTTCACTAATTTTGAAACTGTATCTCTAGATGGACATGTTATGTCAGGAAATTTATGGCAAAATTTTCTCCTGCATGATTTTTAAGTTTTTTTTTTTCACATAGCAACCATAAATCAAAACTCTTTGTTCTAAACTGTATCTCACAGTTAGAGTGTTAGTCAGTCAGTCAGTGTTACACCATTGAGTTTTATAGAAAACTCAATGGTGTAACACTGACTGACTCACTGATCATGTGATCACTGAATGAGTGATCCTCAGTTTTCCAAGGGATCCCACAGTGTCTGCCGATATGACGTTCTGAGAAGCTCTCTGGACATCTAATAGGTCTGCACAATGAACACTCAGTAAAACAGAAGCTGACAGTACATTCAAATGTTCATAAAACAAACAAACATACAAATTAGGTATGATGAGAGGCAGATTTTATGTCTTCTTCTTTGTTTATTTTAGAGCTTAAGTTTCTGATCCCTTTCTAGAATTTATCTTAATAATTTCATGCATATGTATATGTATGTTCTGCCATAATTCTGGGAACTAAATGAATTAAGTCAATCTACTTACGCTTTATCATCCAATTCATTCATACTTGAAAGCTTAATAGGAATTTATTACTTACTTACTTACTCATGGAGCTGAGCCATTCTTGAGCTGCCAGTTCTGCAGCTTTTAAAGAACTTCCCAGCATTTTATGGAACGCGAAGGCTCATTACCATGTTCACAAGAGCCCTCCACTGGACCTTATCCTCAACCAGATCAATCCAATCCATACCATCCCATCCCATCCTATCTCTATAAGATCCATTTTAATATTGTCCGCCCACCTACACCTTGGTCTTCCCAGAGGTCTCTTTCCTTCTGGCTTTCCCACCGATATCCTATATGCATTCGTCTCCCCAATTCGTGCTACATCCTCCTTGACTTGATCATTCTATTTATACCAGGAGAAGAGTACAAGTTACGTAGCTCATTATGCAGTTTTCTAGGACCTCCTGTCACTTCATCTCTCTTGAATCCAAATATTCTCCTCAACGCCCTCAGTCTATCGTCCTCCAATAAGAATTCATTGCATAGCAAATACAAGAATTGCTCTCTTACTTACTTTCAACATTTTATCACGTCCAAAGTTATGCGGTGTCATGAGAAAACAAAGGGTGATATGAAAACAAGTCAGAAGGGATGTACAAGAAAACAATTATGATCTGAGTTTATTAGTACCAATTTTTGTCACATCTTCAGGCATACAGAATATGAAAAAGAAATAAGAAAAAAAAGCTGCTTTGTTGGATCTCTAGGCAGACCTATTCTCAATCCATGGCCTCATGGTTATTCTCAGATGATGGATGAAGTACAAAATAATAGTTTTAAAAAATATGTTCCACCATTATCAAATGCTTTAAACATAATTATGATCTACTTTAAGGTGTTAGCCCAGCATTCAAGACAGCAAAACCATAAGAAGACTCAGTCTGAAATTCAAAATAGATAGCTCCTCATTGCAAGTCAACTATGTTACCGTTGCTGTGTAAATCACAACAAATAATATGAAGTAACTATTTTTTTCAGTGACATAGAAAAGGGGGGGCAGCAACCTGCTGGTGTACTTTACTTTACTCACCATGAAATGATACTATTAGTTCTGACTTCACTGGGGTTCGATAAGGATAAAGAGGCCCTGACCAGCTCCAATTATGATCAAATGAGTGGTCGAGAGTGGAGAAGTTCGTTCATTAGTCCATTTACTGCCAATCTTGCAGCTGTGTTCTTTAAGTAAGTAACACAATGTTTACTTATACTGTTAACTGTAAGACAATGTGATATGAGAGTTTGACCATAAAATCCAAATGATGTGTTAAAGCATGGTGATCAGATACATCACATTTTATGAAACACTTTTAAATCTCACCCATCACTTCCAGAGAAAAGAC